GAGCCCCAGTACTGCATTACCCCAGTCTCCAGTACTCTGAGTGAGCACTGCCAGAGTCACACCCCAGCACCACTGAGTGTGACTCCCAAAGAGAGAATAAGGGTCCAGAGAGATAGAACAACGGGAGAGCACTTACCTTGCGTGGGGCCAACCCGCGTTCGATCTCCAGAGCCCCATCAGAAGTGACCCCTGAGCCCAGAGCTAGGAGAAAGCTTTGAGCACAGCCAGGCACGCTCCCCCCACACACACACACAAAAAAAAAACCCAAAATTTAAAAAAGATCACATGGGAACCTATTAGAAATACAGATCTCTGGGGACTCCGCAGGTCTGGGAATTCATAGAAAAGGATTGGTACTTGAACAAGTTTTCCAGATGGCCTGCTGCCAGGACATTAGAGCCTTCGGAGCAGGAGAAAGTGGCATGGCAGCTGCACAGGCAACGGCAGGAACTCCCTGAGTCAGTGCTCACAGAGGCCACGGCGGGAGAAATCACTCCTGGGAGCTGCTAGTATAAGATCTGTGTGACTGACATGCCAAAGGCAGAAAACATCCATGCATGTCCCAAGGACACAATTCCGTCATCCAGACTGGAGCCTGTTGGGTACCAGGCATGTTGTAGGCATGGGACTCGTGCTTGTCACCTTCACGGATTTCTTCTTGTTAATTCTACTTATTAGATCATTTATACGTCCTTGTCTTCAAGATTCTCATATTCTATCTTGCAACATGAGCTGAAAACTGAGAAAATCATCTTGGGTTCTGACCTACTCCTCCAATTCGTTAATTCTTGAATCTTGTTTTGTTTGGGGGCCACACCCAGCGATGCTCAAGGGTTACTCCTGGCTCTGGGTTTAAACATGATTCCTGGAGGTGCTCAGGGGACCATATGAGATGCAGGGGATCAAACTTGGGTCGGTCACACTCAAGGCAACTGCTCTACCCACATCTGTCTATCATTCCAGCCCCTAATTTTTGAATGTGTGGTGTATATGAGTGTGTGCACCTGTGTATGCGTGTGCATGTGTGTGAGTGTATGTTTATGTATGTGTGTATGTGTGTGAGTGTGTATTTGTGTGTGTATGTGTGAGTATATGTGTTTGTATGTGCATGTGAGTGTGTATGCGTGTGTGTGACTGTGTGAGTGTGTATGTGTGTGAGAGGGAGGCTCCATTATCACTGTGTTAGGATGTGAGTAGGTGATGGTACACCTGATTACCTGTGGGGTCAGTCTCTCTGGGTCTGCTTTGTGGAGGAGCTGGATCCTCACACTGTCCCTCACTCTCTCTGTCCAAGCATCCCACCACCCTCGCCCTGCCTCCTCCCTCCCTGATTCTTACACCGCAGTCAGACTGAGAGGGGACTAGGGGATTGGAGGACACAGGGGAGGGGGGACACAGTCTACTCCTTAGTGAGCTACCATAAAGTGCTTTGGATTCCCAGGCGCTGAAACAGGCTTTTTTTGCTGGTGGGGGTATCCACGTCAGGGCTGGGGGTACCCCAGATGTCGCTGAGTTCTGTGTGGTGAGGACCATTTCAAGGACTCCTGGAACTGTTGCTCCCCCTTGAATATTCTTTTGGAAAAGGGCGTTTGAAAAAGGCAAAAAAGTACAAAGTCACCACACCTGAGCACTCGATTCTCTGACCTTGCGCTTCCCAACCAGATGTGACATGACCCCTGTGAACCCCCAGAGCTTCCCAGGGGTCACAGGGGAAAGTGGACTGAATGACAATGGGGAAACAATGGAGACTGGAGGTTGGGGGGAAATGCAGGGGAACCAGGGTCTGGGGGACACAGGGATAACCAGGGGATGAGGGACATGGGGATCACCAGGGGACACAGGGGGAACCAGGGAACACGGGGGCTCGGGTGGAAGCACCAGGGAGAGGTGCAGGGCTGAGAGGACCAGGGCCAGTGAGAACAAAGGGCCGAGTTCGAACAGGATGAACCAGCCAGCCACTGCCCCCAGCAGGCCACCTAGCGAAACCCGGAGGAAGACCCAGGAGTCTGAGGACTCCACCCAGCACCCACCAGGATCACTCCTGGCCCCCGCCAGGCGTCACTCTTTCCCAGGACTCGCCCAGAGTCCTGCTGATGTAGGCAGGTAGATAGGGAAAGGCTCTCTACAATGAAACAAAGTCTCACAGAAGAAGAATTCTAGGACCAACCCACCCTGTGGAGACAGAGAATAAGGACTTGATAAGACCATCCCCAGACCCTGAAGATATGGGCCTCCTCCCCATGAAATTCCTCCTTTCCGAGAACCCCCTTTCAATCCGGTTGACTCCAGCGACCCAGCCCCAAGGAGATTCCAGAACATTCCAAGTCAGATGATTCTCGAACCCCCTTTCAATCCGGTTGACTCCAGCGACCCAGCCCCAAGGAGATTCCAGGACATTCCAAGTCAGATGATTCTCGAACCCCCTTTCAATCCGGTTAACTCCAGCGACCCAGCCCCAAGGAGATTCCAGGACATTCCAAGTCAGATGATTCTCGAACCCCCTTTCAATTCGGTTGACTCCAGTGACCCAGCCCCAAGGAGATTCCAGAACATTCCGAGTCAGAAGGATCTATAAGAACCAGCTCGAGAGCCCACTTGGCGCTCTCTCCACCCTCGGAGAAGCCCGCGTTCCCTCTGGACGCGTTACTCTCTCTCTCTCTCTCTCTCTCTCTGCTTATCCCTTTCTCTCCCTCTCCAAAAGCCTCCAAATAAAACCTGTTACTTCACTGCTCGTCTACTCCTGAAATTCTTTTCTGCGAGCGAGACAAGAACCCCAGAAACCTCGGGTAAGGCTTGGGACTGGTCTCTCCTTTCCTGCAAAGAGTGAATTCTCACCCCAACTTGAGTCCGTGGCTCCCCGAGCAATCGGGTGGCGGGGATTAACTCCCGTGCCGAGAAGATCAAGCGGACTTCAGGTGTGGCTTGATGGCCACCTCGTGGGGCTGGCGGGGCTTAGGCCTGTGCCGAGCAGGTGCTCACTGCAGACTTTACCAGTCCTAGCCCACCCAGGGTTCCGGGTGGCAGAGGAGGGTGGGGAGAAAGTGGCCGTCTTTCTCCTCCCCACTTCACATAAGTCACCCGTGGGGCCCACCGACATCACTGCCAGCACCCACCCACCCAGGGTGTCTCCCCAGAACCCCCAATCCCAGCTCTGTCCAGCCTGGCTGGCCCGCAGAGGGCAGGCACAGACCCGGCTCAGCCGCATCCAGTGTCAGGAAGCCCCAGAGCTCACCCGCAGTGGAGCACCTTGGGGAGGAGTCTCAGGCTCAGCCTCCTTGGAAGTGGGAATCTGTGAATCAAAAATCGCAGGGGGCGGGGGCAAAGCCAGAGTGACAGGACAGCGGAGAGGGCGCTGGCCTTGCCCTTGTGAGGTCTACCCGGCTTTGATCTCTGTTATCCCATCTGCTCCCTGAGCACCGCCAGGAGTGATCCCTGAACGTAGAGCCAGGAGTAACCCCTGAGACGCTTCCAGGTGTGACCCAAAATTATCATGAAGGTGCCTCGGTCTTAGAGCACATACTCTGTCTCCGGGAGGGCGTTTGAGTCTATATCGCCCCAAAACAGATTAACTTGTCATTCCTTTTTTAAATGCTTTTTAATTTCGCCACCTGACCGGAAGGTGGCGCCCGACGCAGCGCGTTACCCAGCAGGAGGCCGCGCTGTCCTGCAGGGGTCACGGTGTCCAGGCGCTCTGTGCCCCAGCGAGTGGAGATGGTCTTTGTGTCTGTCTGTCCTGCTTCAACCACCCCTGCTCTTGGATGGAGCCGGGCTTCAGGGCCCTTTGAGACAAGGTGGCAGGAGGGAAGGAAGATCGTGGGCAGTCCTGGCTCTGCAGACCTGCTGCAGGCACTGATCCGGCCCCGTCCACCAGAGCAGGGACAGGGGGACACGGAGGGCCCCATGCTGCTGGGGGGACCTGAGGGCGAGGGGTCCTGGCTCCGCATTCCGGCCCACCCGGGAAGCAGGGGGCATGTTCTGACTGGCAGATCCCAGCCCCTACTCCTGGGATCAGGCCCAGTGTTCTGGGGAGAGGGGCCCAGTCCTGAGGGAGGGCAGGTCCCTGCCCAGGTGGGCTCTGCTCCTCCCCTCTGTCTGTGGGGCTGCGTCTAGGGGTTACTCCTGGCTCTGTGCTCCCAGCGATTGTTCCTGAGGCCCCATCTCCATCTCTCCTGCCCCATCCCTCCTCCTGACCTGACACCCAGCCAGTCAGGCTGTGTTCTCTTCTGTGACAAAAGCCGCCCTACATCTGTGCTCCCCGGGGAGGGAGGTGGTGAGGCTGGGGTGGGGGGAGGGCTGGCAGCTGAACTGTCCCTCCGCGGTGTGGGGCAGCCCTCCCCCACTGAGCACACAAATGGGCTTTTATACAGCAAACAAACACCCCCCACCCGGCCACTCAGCACGTGGACCCGCGCCTCGCCGTGGGAAGGGGTGGGACTGTCAGGGAAGACAGGGATTGCTCGGGCCAGTGCCCGCCTGGGGCCTCCTCTGATCTCCGCCGCCCAGGGTGGAGTTCAGGGTCAGACCTGCGAGGCCGCCGGTCACCCCTAAGCCTGTCTCTGGATTCCGACCTCTTCCCTCCCGGCCAGGACACACGGTGCCGAGAACCCGGAAAACTGCCTGCGGGAGTGAGCAGCCAGGGTCCCCCTGATTGGGCTAGGCCGGACCCCTGAGCCCTGCCTGACCCCTGCCGCAGGCTCGCAGTCCGCCAGAGGCGTGTGAGCAGAGGAGGAAGCGCTTGGCCCAGCTGGACTCTGGAGCCCGGGCCAGGGCCCCGGCAAGCCCGCTGGGCTCCCAGCAGGGCATCCTGCATGCCTAATTCGCTATTTAAGGAGCTCTTGGCCGAGCCGGCAGCACCCCTCTCCCCCTCTCTCCCCCCTCCCCTCACCAGCCCCCTCCCCGCCCATGCCCGCCCAGAGCCACCTTAAAAGCAGGAGGCACCCGTGAGGACAGACCGGAGACAGACCGAGAGAGGCTGGAGACGCTGGTCCCAGGCTGGACGCTGCAGAGACAAAGCTTGAGAAAAAGCAATAAAAACACTTGAGTCCGGGCAGACCCCTCCAGCTCGCCACCGCCACCATCAGCCCTGGTCCCCTGGCCCCCAGACCCCTGTGCCTTGGCCGCCCTCCCAGGACACTATGCTGGTCCTCACCCTCCTTCTGGAGGGGATCCGGATCCTGGCTGCGGACAGGGGTAGGTACCTGTGTGTGCGTGGTCGGGGTCATGCCCACCTGTGGCTGCCTGCTGACCCAGGAGGGAGGACACAGAAGGAAGTCTGGGGGGGGGGGCGGGCACAGGGCTGGGCGTGGGCAGAGGCGAGCCCAGCTGGGGTGGGGGTGGGAAAAGGCAGGACAGACCCCCCAGTGAAGGCGTCCCAGTGAAGGATGTCCCTGCGGCTCCATCCCGGGCACGGCGGACCTCTCCAATTAGGGATCCCTCGAGGAGGGCAGCCGCTGTCCACTTCCTAAGTCAAATCTGAGCCCGCCTCAAACTTTGCAGTGCCCCCAGTGCCGGGACCATCCCCCTGCCCAGCTATCCCCGGAAACAAAGCCTGAGTCCGCACAGCACCTGGGGCCTGCCACAGAGGCCCTCGGGCTCCCCTCAAACGGGGTGGGGGGATGGCAGAGCAGCAGAGGGGCTCCTGAGCCCCCGCTTTCCCCTGGGGATGTCCAGAGCAGCCCCAGAGTCATGCTGGATGGGTCGGGGGTGCCGGTGAGGCTGCGGGCCAGGGAGGGGCTCTGGCAGAGGGATAGGGTGTCGGGGTGTCCGGGTGTCTGGGGTGCGTGTGCTCGGGGCTTGCTGGAATGCAGAAGGGAGCAAGGACAAACTCCAGGGCAGTTTCCGGATTGGCAGAAGCCAGGGGAGCAGGAGAGTGAGCGGAAGAAGGCATCCGGGTTGATTCCTAGCGGACAACTTGGGAGGCTACTGGCCTCCTTGCTGCCCTCGAAGCAATGTGGCCTGGGGGCCACAGCCTTGGGCCGGCGCGCAGCCTGCTGGCATGTGACCCAGCTGGCAGCCCTCCTTTCTCACACAAAGCTGCACTTTCATCCCGCTGGGGCGGCTTGGCTGGAGGGCCACCCACCGCCCTGGGGCCGGGCCAGTGATCCCAAGCACAAACGTGTCCTTGCCGCTGCTGGCCCGGACCCCTACGGGCAGCCAGGCCGCACTCTCAGGGCACCGGGGCGGCCCCCCAACTCCAACCTCTTCCTGCTCCCTTGGCTCTGGTCCCTTCCACACCATCCACTCGCCCGACTCTTGGGGTCAGAGTGGCATAAGGCTGGGCAAAGGGGTTGGGACTCCCGCAAGCCCTAGGTTAATTTTAGCATTGCTGGATTCTGTCCTCCCTCCCCTTACTCCACTCACGGAAGCCCAGCCGGCTTCTAAATAGGACCCCCACCTTTCCGAGGTGTCTGGTTGCACGGGGGAGGGGGAAGGGGAGCCCAGAGAAAGGAGCCTGCAGCGGCCTACGATTCCATTCCTCGATTCCTCGCTCTCCTTGCAGGTCAGCACTGGACTTACGAGGGTGAGCAGACCCCCAGGGCCTCCCCGAACCCTTCACTCCAGCTCCCTGCATCCCTGCTCCCAAACGGGGGTTTGGATCTGGTCCTACCCCAAGTCCCTGCTCTCCCCACAGTGTCCGTGTGTGGGGGTGGGGGAGGGGGTGAGAGTGGGGGCCCCCGGGGAAGAGGGGGGCTGGAGGGGGGACTGGGGAGACCCTGGGCTTTGCTGCTCTCCTGCCTTATAGACCCCCCCCCACTGACTTCTGGAATTGGCCAAGTTGGGGGTCCAGGGATGAGGCCTCGCCCCCAGCTGGGGAGTTTGTGGGCCTGGGAGAGGCGGAACTCAGTGATCAAGAATCTTGAGGCCTTCCAAGCGCAGCCCAGAGCCAGAGCACAGTCAGCACCACGGAGTTCCAAGACCCCCTGGACAGGACCCGGGACCAGAGAGAGGCTACTGCAGAGTCTTTCTTTGGATTTTGTTATTGATTGATTGATTGATTGATTGAGGGGACGACCCACCTTGCGGTGCTCAGGGTGTGCTCCTGGCTCTGAACTCAGGCATCGCTCCTGACAGGCTCAGGGGACCATATGGGTGCCAGGGATGGAACCCAGGTCAGCTGCGTATGAACTAGGAGCCCTGCCTGCCCGACTGTCGCTCTGGCCTCTGTAGGGTCACTCCCCGAGCGGTTCCCCCTCTTCTCTGTCCCCTCCCCCGACCCCCCCCCCCCCCGCTTGCTCTCAGCTTTTGACCCTCAGACCACCGGTAAGTGGAAGGTGCCCCCAGTTAGCAGCAGAGCTGGAAATTCACCCCCGCCAGCCTCACCCAGCCTCGCATCCTGGCATCCTGCGGGTGGCACCCCCAGCTCCTCACAACAGCAGGGGGCTGGGGCGGGGGCTGGCCGAGGCCACCGCCAACGCAGCAACCCTGCAGGCCCACATGGTCAAGCCCACTGGCCAGAGTCCTTCCCTGAGTGTGGGGGCGGCGCCCAGTCACCCATCGACATCCGCACTGACTCCGTGACCTTCGAACCGGACCTGCCCATGGTGCAGCCCCGAGGGTACGAGCGGCCTGGAGCAGGAACGGGGCCTTGGCAGCTGAGCAATAACGGGCACACGGGTGAGCTAGGGCGTGGGGCGCAGGGCGCGGGGGGAGCACGGGCCGCGCCTCCTCCCGACCTCTGACCCCTCCTAAGCCTGGGGCTGGCGGCAGACACCGGCTGTGGTCGAGGAAGGTCGCATGGTGGCAGGCACGTGCTGAGGGACCAAACGTGTCAGAAACACAGTGTCCTTGGGGGGCTGGAGCGGTAGCCCAGCAGGCAGGGCGTCTGCCTTGCACGGGGCCAACCCGGGTTCGATTCCCAGCATCCCACATGGTCCCCCGAGCACCGCCACCAGGAGTAAATCCTGAGTGCATGAACCGGGAGTAATCCCTGTGCAACGCCGGGTGTGACCCACAAAGAGAGGAAAAAAACCCGGTGTCTGTGGGGGGTGCGAATGTGGGAGGCAGGAAACTGCCCTGCCGGCCCCCCCACACCTGCCTGCCTCTCTCGTGCCACAGTGCAGCTCTCGCTGCCTCCCTCCCTGTACCTGGAGGGATTTCCACAGAAGTACGCCGCCGCCCAGCTCCACCTGCACTGGGGCCAGAGAGGACGCCCGTGGGGCTCGGAGCACCATGTGGACAGTGAGGCCACAGCTGCAGAGGTGCGGGGAGAAGAGCACGGAGGCCCGTGAGGGGGGGACGGCCGAGGAAGTGTTGGGAACTGCAAGAGAAGAATCTGCGCCTTCACGGGCTAGATGCAGAGGAGACGTGGAGTGAACTGATTAAGTCTCTTGACCGTCCTCAGCTGCACATCGTCCACTACGACGCCGACTCCTACAGCAGCCTGGGCGAGGCCGCGCTCAGGCCACAGGGCCTGGCCGTCCTGGGCGTCCTGATGGAGGTCAGCATGCCCCAGTCCCGTCCGCCCTGCACAAGCAGGCAGTAGCTCCCCTGGGCCTTATTCTCTGCGAGCACCTCAGCCCAGCCAGACACATCGGCAACTGTTCCTCCCCTTCCAGGTGGGTGACGCCCCAAACCCTGCGTACGAACACATTCTGAGTCACCTGCCTGAAGTCCAGTACAAAGGTGAGCCCACAGGGGACAGGCGACAGCATAGCAGGGAAGGCGCTGGCCTTGCCTGCGGCCGACCTGGGATCAGTCCTCAGCTACCCAGATGGTCCTCCGAGCCCCACCCACCAGGAGTGATCCCTGAGGGGCCAGGAGGACACCCTGGGCATCGGGGTGCGGCCCACAAACAGACAAAGGCGAGCCCGCTGCTATGCAGAGGGCAGGCACGGGCTCTGGGAATGTCCTGGGGCGGGGGGCCAGGGTCGAAACAGTTGGGGGGGCTCCCTCCCGGGGCCCGACGTGGCAAGGGGACAAGTGCCCCGATCTCTCCCCTAGACCAGACGACCTCGGTGCAGCCCTTCAACGTGCGGGAGCTGCTCCCCGAGCAGCTGTGGCAGTTCTTCCGCTACAACGGCTCACTCACCACACCGCCCTGCTCCCAGACCGTGCTCTGGACGGTCTTCAAGCACAGAGCCCGCATCTCCCAGGCACAGGTGGGCACCGCGGACGGGGCGCGCTGCCAGACCCGTCCTCGGAGTGACACTTCTCTCCTGTGTCCTCCCTGAATCCACAGTTGGAGAAGCTTCAAGAAACCTTGTTCACCACCGAGACGGAGCCCTCTGAGCCCCTGGTGCAGAACTACCGCAGCCCCCAGCCTCTCAACCAGAGGACCGTGTTTGCATCTTTCATCCAAGGTGACTGCAGGACGTGGGGAAAGCAGGGAGTGCAGAGACCCAGCGGCAGGAAAAGCTAAGTGGGAAGCAGTGCCCTGGACTGGAGGGGAATCCAGAGCCACCCCTGGTCCAGGACGGAAGTGTGGCACCAGGATGTGGCCGAAATGTCCCACTAACCCCCATTTGCTTCTCTTCCAGCGGACCCTGTATACAGCCCAGGTGAGCCAGCCCGGCCAGGTGCATGCGGGCGCCTCTCCAGAGGGAAGAACACATCTTGCCAACAGAGGCTGACACTGTCCATCTTCATCTGTTGCAGGTGAAATGCTGAGTCTCGTTGTGGGGATCTTAGTGGGCTGTCTCTGCCTGCTCCTGGTGGCCTATTTCATCGCTAGGAAGATTCGGTGAGATCCACCTTCCCACTGATGTCATGGTTTCTGTAGAAAAAGGGCGCTCAGGGCTGGAGAGAGCACAGCGGGTAGGGCGTTTGCCTTGCACGTGGCCGACCCGGGTTCGATTCCCAGCATCCCATATGGCCCCCTGAGCACCGCCAGGAGTAACTCCTGAATACAAAGCCAGGAGTAACCCCTGAGCGCTGCTGGGTGTGACCCAAAAAGGAAAAAAAAAGGGTTCTCAGGGCTGGAGAGATAGCACAGCGGGTAGGGCGTTTGCCTTGCACGTTGCCGACCCGGGTTCGATTCCCAGCATCTCATATGGTCCCCTGAGCACCGCCAGGAGTAACTCCTGAGTGCATGAGCCAGGAGTAACCCCTGTGCATCGCCGGGTGTGACCCACAAAGAGAAAAAAAAAGGGTTCTCAGGGCTGGAGAGAGAGCACAGCAAGTAGGACGCCTGCTTTGCATGCAGGTGACCCAGGTTCAATCCCTGACACCTCAGATGATCCCCCAGCCCCGCCTGGGTGCAGACCCAGGAGTAAACCCTGAACACTGCCAGGTGTGGCCCAAAACAAGAGAAAGAAGGTCCGAGCAACAGGACAGCAAAGGAGGTTCTTGCCTTGCACACGGCCACCCTAGGCTCGATCCCCAGCGACCCACCTGGTCCCCAAATCTTGCCAGGTGTGATCCCTGAGCACAGAGCAAGGAGTAAGCACCGAATACTTCCAGGTGTGGCCCAAAACCCAAAAAGAAAAGAAAAAGTATCCTGCAGTTCGGAGAGATCTGCATTTCGGGTTAGGGCACTGCCTTGTACGCAACGGACCCCAGTTTGATGCCTGGTGCTTCCTACGGTCCCTCAAGCCCCATCGGGAATGATCACTGCGCACTAAGCCAGGAGTAAATCCTGAGCACAGCTCGGTGGTCTCTCCTGCTCCCCCAGCACCACCACCCAAGGGCAAAGGATCTTCTGGCTGGTTGGCCTCACAGGACTCTGTGTCTTGCAGGAAGAAGAGGCGGAGAAGTGCAAAGAATGTGATGTTCTCTTCCACGGGCAGCACTGAGCTGGGGTCTCCCTCTCAGACACTAATGACACCTGCCCCTCACCCATCAGCGAGCGTGTGACACGGTGCTGGGAGTGGACAAGAAGCCATGCTGGGCAGACAGGCAGGAAGCCTCTTTCTTAAGACAGCCCCTGGGAAGAGCAGCTCTTGGAGAGGAAGACCAGGATGCACCCTGAGCCACCCGGCAGAGAGCAAACCAGCCTTCAGTGTGGGACTTGGCCACGTGCCCCCAAGCCCCCCACTCCTCGCTGCTATGTCCCCTCCCCTGGATGGATGGGTGGAGCGTAAGGCCTTCCCTGGGATCATGAGGGCTATGTACGTTTGCTCAATACTAAAATTGAAGAAATTAAAGTTTCTTAGCCCACCTCCAGCCTTTGGGGCGCTAGAGAGTGGGGGAGACCCCTGACCCTTGAGGGGTCCAGAGCTGGCAAAAAAGGAGCATGGGCCTCCTGTTTGAGGCGGGGCGCCCCGGCAAATGGATTCAACAGCATTCACCAGGACAAGGCTGCCAGCCTCGACTTCTGCCTTGCTGCAGGTTACGAAGTTGGGTGAGAGGCCTGAAAGCTGGGGAGTCTCCTTTCAGGGGGCCCCACCCCAAGCAGTGAAGTTCCCCCGCGATTATAAAGTCCTTTTTTATTAGTCAAAATCAATCACCTTGATTAAAAGGATGGGACACACCACCCTCAGCAGAAAATAAAACAGTTCATAGAAAACCGCCCCGCCCTCCCACCCCAGTTAGAAACTAGAAAATTCTCCCCTTGCCTGCCACACAATGGGCAGGAACTCCCCACCGCACCCTGGCACCCAGGAGAAGAGGGGGCTGGTGGTCAAAGAGGTGAGAACGTGAGGTCCAGCAATACCAGCTCCCAAACATGCACTGCTCCGTCCCCCCAGGCCTGGGGGGCCCGGGGAAGGGAGAGACACCCCAGCCAGGAGGGACAGGAGAGTCCAAGGGATCAGCAAGAGTTCCCACTTCCCACTTGAAGTGGGGAAGGTGGTCTGGGGTCCTTATCACGCCCAAAGTGGCTCTCCTCAGGCCTGAGGAAATGCAGGTGTGCGGTCTGGGGGCCCCGTGAACGAGTCTGTCTGTCCTTCTATCTCCTGGCCATGGCCACGCTTGGGCCCTCGGCGTGGCCACCTCGGCCACCTGCACTGTCCAGAATGGAGATGGAGAGACAGGGGGCAAGCAGATCACCAGGGCACCCCAGGCCCAGGGCCTCCCCGGGCCCCCTCAGTCCTCAGGGGGGATGCGCAGGGCAGAGTACACCATCACCCGGCTGTCGTCCTGCCGACGGCCTGCAGAGGGGAAGCGGGGTGAGTCTGGGCAGCCTGGGAGCAGGGCACTGACGCACAGGAGGAGTCTGGACGGGGGTCCCTGGCCGGGGGGTAGGGGGACAGTGCAGAGCTCAACCCAGCAGCCAGGGTTGGCTGAAGCTGAGATAACGGCCAGGAGTGGACCAAGCTGACCCTGGCAGGGGAGGAGGAGATGGAGCAGAGTGGGCTGTGGAGCGGGGCTGGGGGGGGCTGGGCTCAGTCATGGGCAGTGGGCAGCAGGTGGGAGTCGGCAGGCCATCGGTCCAGGTCAGTCCTTACACGAGAGGCTGCGCTGAATACTCCGGAGGGAGCCCCCCGCCGTGACGAAGGCCCAGAGCCCCATGGAGACAGTGACTGCATAGATGGGCAGCAGGCTGGCCTCGTACCAGGGGTTCAGGAACGTCTGGGGAGAGGCAGAGTCAGACAGGGTCAGTCTCTCGCACCCGCCTTCCTGTGCTCTCTCGGTTCTGTTGGTTCGTTTTTGAGTCACACCCAGCAGTGCTAGGACTCATACGTGGCTCTGTGCTCAGGAACCATTACTGGCAGTCCTGGGGGCACTATACGGGGTGCCGGGGGGTCAAACCCTGGATGGTTGCCTGCTACACTATGGCTCCGGCCCATCCCCCAAGGCAGCTTATGCAGCTGAGGTGGGAGATGGTCAAAGAATCACCTGCCCCCTCTTCCCACGGTACGTTGTAGGGGCCAGCGCAGTAGCACAGGAGACAGGTGCTTGCCTTCACACGGTCAACCTGGAATCAATTCCCATTCCCCTCTGAGTCCTGACAGGGATGGTCCCTGAGCACAGAGCCAGGAGTAAGCCCTGAGCACTGTTGGATGTTGGCCCTACAAACAAACAAAAATGAAGCAAAATTTAAAAAATTTTCAATATGAGAAAAGTAGCCAGAGCCACAGTGCAGAAGGTAGGATGCTTGTCTTGCATGCAGTCAAACCAGGTTCAACCCCACTGGTCCCCCAAACCCACCAGGAATGAGCAGAGTCGGAGTAACCCCAAGATGGATGTATCCCCCAAACCAAAAAAAAAATAAATATGGGGGGAAAAAAGGGACAATAAAACATAAAGGACCTATTTCCCCTTGTCCCCATCATCTTTTCCTCCTGAGTCTGGCCCTGGTCCCAGCTCACCAGTCCTGAGGTCAGTAAGTGGCTGCCCACCACCAGGCCCAGGGCCCAGTACCGTCTCCGCTCACAGGCATCGAAGAACACGACTCCCCAGAAGGTGTGCAGCAGGATGACCGCCGCTGTCAGGAAGGCTGCAGGGGACAAAGGGCAGTGACCACACAGTTCCCAGGGCATCACCCAGGAGAGCCCTACTGGCCCTCAGCTGGGACCACCAGCCCAGGGACCCCGGCACCGCTTGGGAGGCACTGCATCCCCAAAGAAGGGGCTGCAGAAAGGGAATTGGGGCTGCCTCCCTGAGATGCCAACCCAAAGAGAGGCCCCTAGAGAGGACCGGAGGCAGAGCCCAGGGCCAGGATGCAGGATGGAGAGGCCAGCCAGTGGGATGGCCCGGAAGGATCTTACCTGAAGTGAGGAAGTAGTAGGGCGAGTCTCCGTGGATGCCGACCACCCCTGGGCCCAGCGCATCAGCCAAAATATTGATAACAGAGAAGACACCACTGATGATGCCGAAGGAAAGACCAGACACTGGGGGGAGGGAGGGAGGGAGGGTCCCATCAATGCCACGGTGCTCGCTGGCCTGCCTGCCCATGCACGCGCTCCCAGCACCCCCGGCCTGCTGCCCTCCGAGGGTCGGGGCGAAGGGGCCCGAGGAGCCCCCCGAGGCACGGAGAGGAGAGGGGCGGCCAGGGTCCTCACCGTAGGCCATCTGCCGGATGGAGATGGGCGACCGGCCGTCCTCGCTCAGCGACGCCAGGCCCTCGTCGGCCTTCCTGGGGGCGCGTGGGGAGGCGGGGCGGTGAGGGCGGGGGTCCCCACTGCGCCCGGCCCCGGGTACCACCCCCCCCCCCCGCACCCCTCCCGCCCCTTACTTGAGCAGCTTGTAGTAGGCGAAGCGGAACAGCTCCTGCAGCAGGACGGACACGGCGGCGCCCAGGACCAGGAGGCCGTACTGGAGCCGCGCGTCCGAGCGGTCGGTCACGTGCACCAGGACGAACCAGACCACGGAGGCCAGCAGCAGGGACACGAGCCAGAAGAACGCCCTGCGGGGCACGGCGGGCTGAGCGCGGCGGGCTGGAGGGGCGCGGGGGCGGCCGGACCCGGACCCGGACCCCTCCCGGGCCACGGGCGGCCCCGATCGCTCCGGCCGGCCCCGATCGCTCCGGGCGACCCCGATCGCTCCGGCCGGCCCCGATCGCTCCGGGCGACCCCGATCGCTCCGGCCGGCCCCGATCGCTCCGGCCGGCCCCGATCGCTCCGGCCGGCCCCGATCGCTCCGGAGGACCCCGATCGCTCCGGGCGACCCCGATCGCTCCGACCGGCCCCGATCGCTCCGGCCGGCCCCGATCGCTCCGGAGGACCCCGATCGCTCCGGGCGACCCCGATCGCTCCGACCGGCCCCGATCGCTCCGGCCGGCCCCGATCGCTCCGGCCGGCCCCGATCGCTCCGGAGGACCCCGATCGCTCCGGGCGACCCCGATCGCTCCGGCCGGCCCCGATCGCTCCGGCCGGCCCCGATCGCTCCGGGCGACCCCGATCGCTCTGGGCGACCCCGATCGCTCCGGCCGGCCCCGATCGCTCCGGCCGGCCCCGATCGCTCCGGCCGCCCCGGGAGCAGCGCAGGGCGGGTCCGGGCGCCCCGGAGGGCGGGTCCGAGGGTGGCCGGCCCCCGGGGCGCCCCGAGCCCGCCCTGGCCCCGGCTCGGGCCTCCGACGGGCCCCCGGCTCCCCTGGGTGTCCCCCCACCCCCGCGCCCCGGGCCCCCACTCACCCCGCGACCAGGATGATGACGCGGAGCGGGTCCCCGGCCACGGTGATCAGGAAGAGCGCGAAGGCCGGGCCGAAGGCGACGAAAGTGCAGCCGAAAAACACGGCGGCGCCCATGGCTGGGCGGCGGCGGCGGCGCGACCCCGCGAGGGGCGCGGTGCAATGTCACCCCCGGCCCCGGGAAAGGGGAAGGGGGGCCCGCAAGCCCGCAGGCAGGTCGGCGCGACTTCCGCTACGGAAGCCGAGCAGGGCGCAGCCCGCGCGCGGCCGCCTCCCCTCTAGTTCCCGCCCCCCCCCGAGGCTCGGCCAATCAGAGGCCTGGGGGCGTGGCTCCGCCGCCGCAAGCGCTGCTGGGAAATGTAGTCCCGCGCCGTCCGCTGGGTCCCCGGCGTGGCTCGCGCGGGCGGGTTCCAGCGGGTGCTCCCAAGCAGGCCCAGGGCGGGGAGCGGGTTCCGAGGTCCGGTCGGTCGCCGTGGTTTCCACGTGTCGCCTGGCCGGGGAGAGCAACAGCAGTCATGCTGCTTCTTGCAGGGCTGTTAGAGGCAGGGAAGATCCTGTTGGAACCTCAGGGATAAATATAGAGCCACAGGATAGGGGGTGCAGGGAAGGGGGGTGGCATTGTTCTCACTTGAATGGGAGGAAACAGGCTGGAGCTGCTGTCTGGGAGATGAAAGTCAGGCTTGAATGTAGGCGCTCTTTGAACTGGCTGCAAGGGTCCGGGCATGCTGTGGATAGCTCTTAAAGCCTTCAGCTGTCGGTGAGGCTGGAAGGCTAGAGAGAAGTAGAGGAGCCTGGAAAGGAATATTAGGAAGAACTTCATAGGGGAAGCCCCTATAAGAAGTTTATAGGGGGACCAGAGCGATGGTACAGCGGGTAGGGCATTGTCTTGACGTGGCCCATCAGGATTCAATCCCCGGCAGCCTATATGGTCCCCGGAGCACTGCCAGGAGTAATTCCCAAGTGCAGAGCCAGGAGTAACCCCTGAGCATCGCTGGGTGCGACCCAAAAAGGAAAAAAAGAAAAGAAATTTATAGGGTAGGGCAGAAGCCATGGTAAGCCTGTAAGGCACTTATTTGCCTCGTTTGGTCAACCTAGGTTCAATCCCCAGTACCCCGTATGGTCCCCCAAGCCCCGACAGGTGCAAAGCCAATAGTAAGCCCAGACCATCTCTGGGTGTGTCCAAAAAAAAAAAAGTTTGAATGTATAGGGGAATCCTTAGGAAATTCATAGGGGAAATGCCCTATAAAAAATGTATAGGGGAGTCACTATAAAGAGTTAAAGTTATTGGGGCTGGAGCAACAGCACAGCAGGGAGGGCATTTGCCTGGCACGCCAGGCGGCTGACCCGAGTTGGATTCCCAGCATCCTATAAGGTCCCCTGGGCACCGCCAGGAGTCATTCTTGAGTGTATGAGCCAGGAGTAACCCCTGTGCATTGTCAGGTGTGACCCAAAAAGAAAAAAAAAAGAGCACAGCCACTTTTTTTCTGCTCTGTCACCGGTTCCTTTTATGTCACACATCCTCTGTTTACTCTCTGAAAATGGAAAAATGTCTCCTCCTTAGGCTGTGGGTAGGAGTTGCATATTACTAGGGTAAAAGAAGATTAAAGTGGGAGGGAGGTGTCTTGTCACCTCATCCAGACCTGGGGGGTGGGTTATGCTGGAGGAAGAGGTTTATGCAAAAGAGTCCCTGGTGCAGGTGGGGAGGTAGTAGGACACTTGAATGCAATGTGCACTCACCCCATTTTGACTGGTCAGGAGAGCCAAAAGTAACCTCTGAGCATAACCAGGTGTGGCCCAACGACCCCGAATAAGAGTCCCTGAGTGGGGAAGTGAGGGTTGCTGAAATAGATTTGTGAAAGTATTCACTTGATCACTTGATCACTTGACTTCCCGTAAATCGTCGATTTGCTCTAGCGGGCACCAGTAACGTCTCCATTCGTCCCTGTCACGTGCTAGTGTAGCCCAATGGCGTCTGTTCGCTCTAGGAACACGAAGAGCCTCAAACCGACCGTTCATGATCTTGACGAAGAAGTCTGACCATCTGGTAGGTGGGCGGCCACGCGGTCTTTTGACATCCTGTGGAATCCAGTCGGTAACAGCTCTAGTCCAGCGGTCGTCTTTAAATCTCATTACGTGACCAGCCCATCTGATTTTCGACACCTTGGCAAATGAGACAGCGTCGACAGATGTCGGAACTCCAGATTTTTTCTTTCATTTGAGTGAAACGTGATACTCCAAGCATAGCTTTCAATTCCTCTTTGGGAGACCCGAATAGCGTTCTCATCCTGTTTGCGTAGGGCCCAGGTCTCTGAGGCGTATGTCAATGCAGGAAGAACAGTGGAATCAAAGAGATGTGCCCGGAGCCGGAGGTTCTTCGTCCTCTTAGCTATTTCTTCGACGTTCTTGAAGGCGTTCCAAGCCGCTCTCTTCCTCCTGCGCAGCTCGGGTGCCAGGTCATTTGTCATGTTGACTTCTCGACCTAGGTACACATAGCTGTTGCATTCGGAGATGGTCGTTCCATTGAGAGCGAATGGGGCGTCAGGAACGAGGCTGTTTCTCATAAACATCGTCTTCGTAAGATTCAGCTGTAGTCTGACCTTTCCACACTCACGGTCAAAGTCGGCCAGCATTTGTGCCGCTTGGCTGATGTTTGGTGTTATTAAAACAATGTCATCAGCAAAGCGGAGGTGGTGTAGTTGCCGACCATCTATCTTCACTCCCATTCCTTCTCATTCCAGTCGTTGAGAAGGATGAAGGATGAAAGTATTCAAAACCATCAAAAACCCATAGAAATGGTTAAAAAAAAAAAACAGGTTTCCTTTCCTTCCTCAAAGTGGTTTGATTTCACACTTTTTGGTACATTCAGGTTAAGTGTTATACATTTTTTCTACGAAACACAATTTTTCTATGAGACAATGGATATAGATTTACGAAAAGAAAGTTACCAGTAAATCCTTCTCCAGTAAGACACCCTGCCAGAGGCGCAAATGCCTGCCTTTCTTGCTGCTGAGCCTAGAGTGGGGTCAGGGGAGAAAATCAGGATGGAAAACTTTCCAGGCCCAGAGATATGGTACAGCAGGAAAGGCGTTTGCCTTGCACACGACTGATCTGGGTTCCATCCCCAGCACCTCATAGCGTCCCCCAAACACCACCAGGAGTAATTCCTAAGCACAAAGCTAGAACTAAGCCCTGGACACTACCAGATATGGTCCAAAAATAAAATCAAAAAGAAAAGAAAAAACTCTTCCCTGTTCCCCTCTGAGCTGTGGGCACAGCATCCTAGGGTGGAATACGGCGTGAAGCAAGCAGGACTGATAACCCACTTAATCTGATCTTGGTGGCTCCACAGGACTGTCCAGGGCGTGGATGGTGCCTTAATACTTATTAACTTCTTTTCCTAGTGGGGTGGGGCCAGCACTGGGAGGTGTTCAAGACTTCCTCTGAGCTCTGCATTCAAGAATAACTCCTGGCAGGCTCTAGGGACCATATGTAGTGCTGGGAATTGAAGCTGGGTCAGCTGTGTGCAAGGCAAATGCCCTCCCTGCTGTACTATCTGTTCAGACCTAACTCCTTTTTGTAAAAAAATGTACTTGAGGGGCTGGAGTGACAGCACAGCGGGTAGGGCGTTTGCCTTGCACGCGGCTGACCCGGGTTCAAATCCCAGCATCCATATGGTCCCCTGAGCACCGCCAGGAGTAATTCCTGAGTGCAGAGCCAGGAGTGACCCCTGAGCATTGCCAGGTGTGACCCAAAAAGCAAAAAAAAAAAAAAAATGTACTTGAGTCTTAAATATGTGAGGCTCTGGATTCTATTAGCGAGACCCAAATCCAAACCAACTTTTGGAGCAAAGGAGAGATCTCACAGGTCTGGAGCACATGCCGGGATGCTTGAAGCACCAGGTTTGATCCCCAGCACCACCTGGCTCCCCAAACCTGGTTGGGTGATGTCCTGGTGACCTCCTAGCACCTCTGAGGATACCAAAATCAGCAACTGGGCTCCAGCATGCACGCATACACACCAGCCCTTTGAGCCGTTTGCCTGGCCCCAAGATGCTATATTCTTTTTTTGGGGGGGGGACCACACCTCGACGTGCTCAGAATTTACTCCTGAATTCAAGAATCACTTCTAGTGGTTCTCAAGAGACCATGTGATTCCAGGGATCAGAACCAGCTCAGTCACGTGCAAGGCAAGTACCTTACCTGCTCTGGTCCCAAATTCTACATTATTTATTTATTTATTTATTTATTTTGCTTTTTGGGCCACACCGGCGATACTCAGTGGCCACTCCTAGCTCTGCATTCAGAAATCACTCCTGGCAGTCTTGGGGGAACCATATTGGTGCTGGGCGAACCATATTTGATGCAAATGCCCTACCTGCTCTGGCCCCACCAAATTCTATATTCGGTTTTTTTTTTTTTTGCTTTTGCTTTTTGGGTTACACCCAGCGATGCTCAGGGGTTACTCCTGGCTCTGCACTCAGGAATTATTCCTGGCGGAACCATATGGGATGCGGGGGTTGAACCCGGGTCGGCCGCGTGCAAGGCAAATGCCATACCCGCTGTACTATCGCTCCGGCCCCAAATCCTATATTCTTTTTTTTTGGGGGGGGGGTTACACCCAGCGATGCTCAGGGGTTACTCCTGGCTCTGCACTCAGAAATTACTCCTGGCGGTGCTCGGGGGACCATATGGGATGCTGGGAATCGAACCCGGGTTGGCCGCGTGCAAGGCAAACGCCCTCCCCACTGTGCTATTGTTCCAGCCCCAGTCAAATTCTATATTCTTAAGCCTAAGTATGTAGCTATGTGTCACAGGCCCAAGATCTGGGTTATATTCCCTGCATTACAAAAAAAATATATTAATTACATTCTTTTTACCCTGGTCCATGACGCCTACTTTGACCACATTCTCCTTGGAATAGAACTATAAATGTTCTCGAATGGAATGAAAATAGGAAAAATAAAGGCAGAGAGAAAGGAAGGTGAACTTGATCCCCTAGGGCCGACACCCAGAGACTGAAGAAATGGAGTAAGTGGGGGTGGTGCTCATCGCAGGGGCAGAAACTATTTCCTCTCTTCGTCCAGCCTGTGTCCAGAAAGCTAAAAAGGGGGTGAGGTAAGGTCAATATTTACCAGAGAGGAAGGAGGTGCGAAAGATCTTTATCACAGCAAGCAGCAGGTGTTTTGAAATCAGACAATGACGTTGATGTTGTTCGGACTTCAAGAGAAGCAGCGGTGGGTACGATTTGCAATCTGGGAAAATATTCATCCCGTAGGACACTGCCTGCAAAGAAAGCCACGGAGGATAAGACTGAGAGAAGAGACCCTCGGACCGTCGATAGTGACCGTGAGTCGAGTGTGTGGCCTGCTGAGATGGAAGGAAACTTGCAAGGGCAGGGCCATGTTCTGGGTAAGGGAAGTGGGTGTTTTTCGTGGAGAATGCGCACCCCTTCCCCGCCCCAGTGGCCACTCCTGGCCACACACATCCCTGCTGAGAGGGCCTGGTGGGTAAGCTCGGGCCACAAGGCACAGCAAGGCTGGGCCCAGCAGGGCGACTCGGTGGAAGGCAGTGGGGAGGCTCTAAGTGCTCCCCAGCCTTTGGTGTCCTCACCTGAACCCCAGACGCTGTTTGTTTGTTTCTGGGGAGTGGTTGCTTGAGCACTGCATGGACTTCCCTAGGCCCCAGGCTCTGTGAGTCTAGGGGGCCATGGTCAGGACCAGCTGGCTGGCCACCGAGGATGAGTAGTGAGTGGGCGGGGTCTGCGGGGAGGAGGGCAGAGGCGGGGTAAGTTTAATGGGAAGCAGTGACTTCCTTTTCTGACTTTGAATCCTGCAGAATTCACAATGGATGTCTTCTTGGTAGCCATCCTCATCGTGCCGCTCATCCTGGGTAAGTTTCTCTCTTCTCGATGAAGTTTTTGGGCTAGATCTCCTCCCACGGAGGTGGTAGAAGAGAAGGAAGTGAGGGCAGAGAGTGCGCGGCTCAGTGCCGGCAGGGTCCTGGGTACCAGGGATCCTGTGCTGCAGGTCACAGGGGTCTGGAGGGTGGGCCAGGAAAGTTCTGGCAAGGGAAAGGCTGGTGGAGGGGGAGCCCCCGAACAGGGGGCGGCTCTTAGGAGGCTGGACTCCATCACCACCAGGCTGGGGAGAGGAAGGAGGATCAGACGAAGGGAGCAGCAGCATTAGGGTCTTCTGCTTTGTTCTGAGCACTCTGGGCTGAAATCCTCTGATTTAGGAACCCACACACTTGCGCTGTAGGGGAGAGGCGCTACTGGAAGTGACACAGGCTGAAGCCTGCGAGGCGGCCAGGAAACACTGAGTGGGGGGAAGCCTCGTCTGGTAAGGCCAAAGAGAGGGGTAGCAGAGAATGCAGCCCTCGGGACACCTCCCCCGAGGAGCCTGGTTCCTTCCCTTCTTTGTTCCGCGACCAGGTGCACCATTGTTTCTCTTTCCTCCAGACTCTTGGTCATTGCTTCGGCTAGAGAGCACTGAGGAAGCTCGAGGGAGTATGCAGCCAGCAGGCGCCTGTACTTCTCTAACCTGGTCACAGCCTGGCTTTGAGTCTTGGAAAGGAAGTGAATGTTTGCAGGCAGGAGGTTGCTCAGTGGTCAGTGCTTGCCTTGCATATGTGAGTGAGGCCCTGGGTTCAATTCCAGTCGAGAGAGAGAGAGAGAGAGAGAGAGAGAGAGAGAGAGAGATGGAAAAGAGCCTAATGCAGACAAATTATGTCATTCAGCGGACTTTCTTTAATAAAGTGAATATTGGGGCCTGCAGTGATGGTACTACAGGGAGGGCACTTGCCTTGAACATGACCGACCTGGGTTTGATCGATCCCCAGCACCCCATATGGTTCGCTGAGCGCCCCACCCCACCTCCAGAATGATTCCTGGGCGCAGAGCCAGGAGTAAACCCTGAGCACTGCCAGGTGTGGCCTCCCGAAAGAAAAGTGATTAGTAAGCTGCTCCTTCAGTGCTGTTTCCCTAGCGAGCAGAAAACAGAAACGGAAACCTAAATCCCAAAACATAAGGGTGTGTATGTGTTAGTTAAATGTGAGAGACAGTAATAAGGCAGAGTTTTCAAAAACAGAGTATAGGGGCCAGAGATAGGGAATAGTACAGAATAAAAAGGATGGCCAGGGGCCGGAGTGATAGCACAGTGGGCAGGTGTTTGCCTTGCATGCAACCTGGGTTCGATCCTCGGCATCCCATATGGTCCCCCGAGCACCGCCAGGAGTAATTCCTGAGTGCAGAGCCAGGAGTAACCCTTGTGCAATGCCGGGTATGACCCAAAAAGAAGGGAAAAAAAAAAGGGCAATGACCTGGCATACAACCAAGTCAGGTCTGACCCCTGGAACCACATACTCTGAGAACCTCCAGGAGTGATTTTTGAACACAGAGCCAGGGGTATTCCCTGAGCACCACCAGATGTGGCCCATCCCATTCCCCCAAAATACTGTATGGGACATGGTGTCTAGTAGATTTGAAGTTCTTTTTATTCCCCAGTTTTGGCTTGTACCAGGCTTTGATTCCTGGCAGTGCTTAGCGGACCAAATGAGGTATCAGGGATCAAGCTTGGGCCAGCTGTGTGCCAGGCAAGCGCCCAACCTGCTGCCACTATCTCTCCAGCCCCAGAGCGGGAGTGCTTGATCTCTGCTCTCTGCTTCCCACTTCCTTTCCGTTTTCCTTTGACACGAGGGGACTGGGTGCGGGCCACCAGCAGGTCAACCTGTACCTGCAGGGCGAGTGAATCAGCGGCCTGATGGTGCCTTCAGACTGATACCCCAAAATTGCTGCTGTGCCTCTGACTGGACCCCAACCACTCGGGACCAAGTTTCCCGAGAAACTGAATGGCTAAAAGTGGGGTATGTGGGAGCCACGCCCACAGAACGCCTCCTTGGTCAGTTTTACAGCTTATTCGTCAGCCTTGCTTCAGAGGCCCATTAATAAATCTCAAAAGAGATCAAAAACTGTAGTTTAATCTCGGACCTGCACAAGACTGAACAGACCAGGGTAAATCAGAGAGGGGCAGGTCAGCCTGGTGCCCACCCAAGCAAAGCCTCTTGCAGCCCCTTGCTCCCACAATCCCAGATCATCACCATGCCCCTGGCCGGATTCTCACTGTCTCAGGATAGACCTCACCGAGATATACTGTCTGTCAAATACTGTCCTCCCGGTTTTCATCGATTTGCACATGCGGGCCCAGTAACGTCTCCATTGTGAGACTTGGTTGTTACTGTGTCTGGCATATCGAATATGTCACGGGGAGCTTGCCAGGCTTTGCCGTGCGGGCAAGATACTCTCGGTAGCTTGCCGGGCTCTCCGAGAGGGGCGGAGGAATTGAACCCGGCTCTGCCGGGCCAGCTGCACGCAAGGCAAACCGAGATATAATCTGCTGAAAATTCAGGTATGCAAGGTTTTTTTTTTTGCTTTTTGGGTCACACCCAGCAATGCTCAGGGGTTACTCCTGGCTCATGCACTCAGGAATCGCTCCTGGCGGTGCTCGGGGGACCATATGGGATGCTGGGAATCGAACCGGTGTCGGTCATGTTGGCTGCGTGCAAGGCAAACGCCCTACCCGCTGTGCTATCACTCCAGCCCCTCAGGTATGCAAGTTTTTTGTTTAATTTTTATTTTTTATTTTATTTGTTTAGTTATTTTTTTGCTTTTTGCGTCACACCCAGCGATGCACAGGGGTTACTCCTGGCTCTGTACCCAGGAGTTACTCCTGGCAGTGCTCAGGGGACCATATGGGATGCTGGGAATCGAACCTGGGTCGTCCGCGTGCAAGGCAAACGCCCTACCTGCTGTGCTATCTCTCCAGCCCCAGGTATGCAAGTTTTGTGACTGAAATCTCCAGGCTTTTCTAAAGTTGGGATGGGCTCCTTCCCCACACCTCCCTGTACTTTAGAAGCCTGGGCAGTCACGTCCACACCGCAAAGCTGCCCACCAGTTAAAAAATCTACTTCAGCCTTTACCTTCCCAATAAAAATACTGAATGCCCTGAAAAAGCATGAAGACCTCTTAGAACCTGTACTGCAAATCATAATGCACAGAAGAGAGAGGGAGAGAGAGAGAGGGAGAGAGAGAGAGAGAGAGAGAGAGAGAGAGAGAGAGAGAGAGAGAGAGAGAGAGAGAGAGGAGGTGCCTGCCATCAAGGCAGTCTGGGGGAAGGGGCTGTTTCAGGGATGGTGGGAGGGACACAGAGACATCACGGTGGGAAGTATGCACTGGGGGAGGGACGGGTGTTGGATCATTGTGTGACTGAAACTCAGTCATAGCACAGCGGGTAGGGCGTTTGCCTTGCACACAGCCAACATGGCCCACCCGAGTTCGATTCCTCCGCCCCTCTCGGAGAGCCCGGCAAGCTACCGAGAGTATTCGATATGCCAGACACAGTAACAACAAAGTCTCCAATGGAGACGTTACTGGGCCCGCTCGAGCAAATCGACGATCAACGGGAGGGCCTTTACTTTACTTTCGAGCAAATCTCACAGATATTCAATTAAAAGTTTAAAAATAAAATATAAAAGCTTTGCAGACCACCAGAAAAAAGAAAGAGTGAGGGGAATCAATTGTCTATTCTGGGACTTGCAAGAGCACAGAGTCATTATTACCGCATGCAGGCCAGAAAACTGAGAAAGATTGAGAGGCGACAGGTCGGGAGATGGCCTCACACTGAGGGAGGACACTGGCAGGGTGGGTCCACCAGGCTGCCTCGCTGCTGCTCAGGAGTTCCAGATGCCCCTGACTTTAGTTCTGGTCTCCACAGGGCAAGAATACCCAGATGAAGAGGTGCTAGATGAGGAGGAGTATTACCAGATCGTTTATTATTATTCTGTCACGCCCGTCTATGGTGAGTATAAGGAAGACAGTTCTCAGATACACTTTTGCAAACTAGCGGTTTTCGGTTCTTTGGCAACTAGCTGAAACAATTTGAAACAGCTTCAAATCTGTGAATTAGAGGGGCTGGAGCAATAGCACAGCGGGTAGGGGGTTTGCCTTGCACTCGGTCAACCCGGGTTCGATTCCCAGCATCCCCTATGGTCCCCTGAGCACCGCCAGGAGTGAGTCCTGAGTGCATGAGCCAGGAGTAACCCCTGTGCATCGCCAGGTGTGACCCAAAAAGCAAAAAAATAAAATAAAATTTAATGATAGAGGACTGGAACTATAGTACAGGGGTAGGGCGTTTGCCTTGCAAGCGGCCGACCCGGGTTCGAATCCCAGCATCCCATATGGTCCCCTGAGCACCGCCAGGAGTGATTCCTGAGTGCAGAGCCAGGAGTAACCCCTGTGCATCGCCGGGTGTGACCCAAAAAGCAAAAACAAAACAAAACAAAACAAATTTGTGAATTAGAAACCAGAGAGACAGGATATCAGGCAAGGTGCCTGCCCCCATACAGGAGACCTGGGTTTGATCCACAGATGGTCCCCTGAGCACAAAGCCAGGAGCGATCCCTGAACATGGCTGGGTGTGGCCCCCAGAATTTAATAAAAACAAGTAAATAATGATTTCCAGAGACGGCTTGGGCCAGGGCGATAGCACAGCGAATGGGGCACTTCCTTGCACACGGTGCGTCCCGATTCTATTCCCAGCATCCCACATGGTCCCCTGAGCACCAGCAGGAGCCATTCCTAAGTGCAGACTCAGAAGTAAGCCCTGAGCACCACCAGGTGTGGCCCCCAAACAAGACAGAGAAACAGGGCTGAGTGCGCGCTCCGCTCCGCATGCAGAAATGCCAGGTATTTTTTTTTTTTTTTTTTACTTTTTGGCTCACACCCAGCGATGCTCAGAGGTTATTCCTGGCTCTGTACTCAGGAATTACTCCTGGCGGTGCTTGGGGGACCATATGGGATGCCGGGGATTGAACCCAGGTCGGCCGCGTGCAAGGCAAACACCCTACCCGCTGTGCTATCACTCCGGCCCAGAAGCGCCAGGTTTAATCAGCCTCGGAGCACTGAGCTCTGCTTGGTGTGGCTCTCACGCAGAAACTCACAGTTACCGTTAGATCAGATCTGTATGTTCCACTTGCGGTCAGTTCAAGTGTTTTGGGAACTCGTTTCCTTTCCAGGCCTAAATGCTACCTCTCTCCTTTCTCCTCTCCAGATGACTTTGGAACTTTCACTATTGATTATTCCAAGCTTGAGTCAGAAGGCAGGGGGGTGAGTGACCATCACCTGACATCTGGGAGGAGGAATCTGAGGTGCTGGAGCGAGTCAGTGAGAGGCTGGGGTGGGGTGGGGCGGGGCGGGGGGACAGCTCAAAGGGCTAGAGCACAGGCTTTGCAGGGGGACAATTCAGGTCGAACCCCTGAGCACCCCTAAGTGTGACTCCCCCACCCCCCAAAAACCTGCGCACTGTGAAAAAGTAACTGATGGACAGGAATAAAAATTAGACGGATGAGGGAGGGAGGAAGGGAGGGAGGGAAGATAGCACGTCTAGGAGGGCACTCCCCTTGCAGACCCAGATTCAATTCCCAGTATCCCGTATGGTCCCCCAAGCCTGCCAGAAGTGATTCCTGAGCCAGAGTCAGAGATTCCTGAGCATAGCCGGTGTGGTTCCCACACAGACAAACAAAAAAAAGAGGTAGTTGAAGAAAATGGTAGGTGATGGACTTAAAAGACTTAAAAGTGTATCAGCCACTGAGGTGAGTGAAACAAAAGCCAGGTTGGGGTGGGAATAAGGGGGGAAGGGAGGGTGCTTGCCTTGCATGTGGCTGACCTGAGTTCAGTTCCCAGCATTGCATATGGTCCCCTGCGCACCGCCCGAGCGTGATCACTGAGTGCAGAACCAAGAGTATGAACCTCAGGGTAGAGCTCGAAGGAAATAAGAACCAGGCAGGGTTGCTGAGATGCAGAGCCAGAGTGACAGTCCTTGGTTCAAGGGAAGCAATGAAGACAGGGCTGTTACTCAGCACTTACCTTGCATGGGGATCAGCAGTATAGCCCTTACCTTGCATGTGTGAGAGCTTGGGTTCAGTTCCATACCACACACACACACACACACACACACACACACACACACACACATACACACACACACGAAGAACGGGCAAATAGGATAGGAGTTTGATCCTTGCAAACATAAGCTAGGGACACTCACTGAGTTCATCTGTAGGGGTAAGGGTCGACCGAGGTGGTAAGGGTGAGATCTCTAAAGAATCTTGGAGGAATATTAAAAAGAGATGGCAATAACTCTGCTTTCTAGTCACTCTCTGGAGGACAGAACCAGTCGGAGAAGGCAGTCACGGAAGCAGTGGAGACGACCATTAATCACGCAACAGAACAAGGAGAACATCACAAGACTGTAACAGTGACGCCCATGACAGTGGGACCAGTGAGTTGATTTGGATTGAGTGGGAAGTGGTGGAAACACGTTTGACCCTGGATGGTACCCAAGGCTGGTACAGAGTAGAGGAAAAGCCCCAGACCAGTGAATGGGGTACCACACAGTAGGCTCGCAACGCAAACGTTCATCTTAGTTTGGCTATTCTGTTTTCCGTGGAGGCTTCATACCAATCCCATAGACAGAACTCTGGGAAGATTCTCTGCAGTTACAGTTCACTTTAGTACTTATCTATGCCTAAAGCTGCTAAGGAATCTAATGATGGGAAAATAAATGTATGAGTTCTTTTTGTATTTATTAAACTCTGGACTGGGGCCAGAGTGACAGTACAGTGGGTTAGGCCCTTGCCTTGCATGTGGCTGACCAGGGTTTGATCCCCAACATTTCATGTCGTCCCCTAAAGGAGTATATCTTGGGCATAGAGCCAAGAATAACCCCAGAGCGGCACCAGGTGTGGGCCCAAAACAAATAAAAACAAAATCAAAATTCTATGCTTACACTTATGAAACACCAAGAACAAAACAAAAAGGTTTAAAACAAAATAAATGACATATAAAGGACATTATGGAGCTTTGAAGCCACAATCTTGCTCCTCAAGTTGGCCTGCAATTACTTAATTTTTTCTGAATAGAAGTTTTCTTAGCCTTCAAAAATTAAAAATAAAAGAGATGTTTAAATATGAGGGCATTTCATATAGGCAAGCAGTAGAGGGAGTGAGATTAAGCACAGGATGAAGCTATCTGGAAAACTGTGCTTAAGAAACTCTTGGAAGAATGTTCCAGCCTTTGACGGCAGTGAGTTCTGAGAGGAGGGATGCAGCAAGGGGGAAGAACAGCTCCGGACAGTGAGAGAGGACAACCGACATGCTGGAGTATGGCTGGGACTGCAGGAGGCTCCCCCCAGAACACTGGGAAATGGAGGGTAAAAATTTACTAGGTCCCTAATACATGTTCAGTAATTTCACATATGAAAAATAGAGCCAAAAGAGTCTGAACTGTCAGGCTGAAATCTGAACTTCAAGCAAAAAGGAGTAAGTTCTCCAGCATTGTTTTTTGAAAAAAAAAAATATATATATACATATATACAGGAGGCAGCAGGTAGGTGTTTGTCTTACAAGTGGCAAGTGATCGATCCCCAGTACCCCTAGGGTTACCCAGGCCCACCAGGAGTGACCCCTGAGCGCAGAGCCAGGAGAAAGAAAGAATCCTGGAGGGCCTGGAGCGATAGCACAGCGGGTAGGGCATTTGCCTTGCACGCGGCCGACACAGGTTCGATTCCCAGCATCCCATATGGTCCCCTGAGCACCGCCAGGAGTGACTCCTGAGTGCAGAGCCAGGAGTAACCCCTGTGCATTGCCGGGTGTGACCCAAAAAGCAAAAAAAAAAAAATCCTGGAGAACACGGGGTGGTCCAGACAACAACAACAAGCAGGGACCAAAGAGATAGTCCAGGACTTTTTTGGGTACCTGCCTTGCCCCCGAGCCCCCCAAGGAATGGCCTCCGAACACAGAGTCAGAGTAAGCGCTCAGGGCACCTGGCTGTGGTCAACCACTTTCCTCTCCCCAAAAAATTAACAATAAAAAAATATATTTTTTTAAAAAAGAAGGGTTTATTTTTGAAGGGGTACACACCAGATGGTGCTCAGGGAATCACTCCTGGTGGGGTTTAGGGGACACTGTGTGGTGCTGGGGATTGAACCTGGGTCATGCAAGGCCAACACCCCACCCGCTGTACTATTTGCTCTTTTGATCTCCCCCTGAAAAGGTTATTTGTATAATTGTACACAGGATGTAATGGAATGAGGAGAACATCATGACATTTTCTTATTCTATTAATGATCTGGACTAAGGAAGTGGCATTTAGAATGAAGAGGAGGAAATATGAATTTTTAAAATAAAATGCCTCGTTTTAGAACTGAAAGAGAGTAGAATGGGTTAGGCACTTGCCTTGCACACGGCCAACCCGGTTGGATCCCCAGCACCCCATATGGTCCCCTGAAACCCACCAGGAGTGATCCCTGAGTGCAGAGCCAGGAGTAACCTCTGAGTATTGCCAGGTGTGTCCCAAAAAAATGCCAAAAGAAAATGCCTTACTTTCTGTAAGGTCTGTAAGATCACTGTCACTGTCCTCCCATTGTTCATCGATTTGCTCGAGCAGGCACCAGTAATGTCTCCATTGTGAGACTTGTTCTTACTGTTTTTGGCATATCGAATACATCACGGGAAGCTTGCCAGACTCTGCCGTGCTAATCCCGCTAAACACTCAATGACTGAGAATGCTACAGTAACTTCAAAAATTCAGAGTTGGATGTCTCTGGAGAGATGGTGGGTTCATAATGATGAACTATAGGAGGTCAGGGTGGGTTAAAAGTGAAGCTGAACAGAGGCATTGACCAGGCTGGACCAACTGGGACCTCCTGAAGGGTTTGAACTAGGTCAGGGTAACAGTTAAAAAAGGAGTTTCAGGGGCTGGAGTGATAGCACAACGGGTAGGGTGTTTGCCTTGCACGCGGCCAACCCAGGTTCGATTCCCAGCATCCCATGTGGTCTCCCTGCCAGGAGTCATTCCTGAGTGCAGAGCCAGGAGTAAGCCCTGAGCATTGCCGGATGTGACCCAAAAAAATAAAAGCAAAAAAAAAAAAAAAAAAAGGAGTTTCAGGGGCTGGAGCAATAGCAGAACAGGTAGGGCGTTTGCCTTGCACGTGGTCAACCCAGGTTCGATTCCCAGCATCCCATATGGTCCCCCGAGCACCTACAGGGCTAATTCCTGAGTGCAGAGCCAAGAGTGACCTCTGTGCATCGCCGGGTGTGACCCAAAAAGGAAAAAAAAAGGGAACTTCAGTTAAAAGAACCAGAGGACAAGTGAACCAAAGGCCAAGCGCACTGCAGGACAGGGCATGTGCAAGCAGAGAGCTGACCGGAGAGACGGGCCATCGAGTTTGTACCATAGGGTGGGTCTAGCAAAGACAGTTGAATGTGATCAGTCAAAAGCTACAGAAGCCAGGGAGTCATTGGCAGCTCCGTAGAATGCCGTTTTAATTGTGTTGTTGAAGCAGAAGCTAGACTGTTGTGAAGGAAGGGGAGTGATCCCTTGAGCTTTCTCTATCATTTGCGGAACAGAAATCAGGTAATAGAAAAAAGAGACAGAAACCTCTAGAAAGAGTTAGCACACCAAAGTAGAGGCTGGACACAGCTAGATACAGGTAGAAGTCAATAGGGTGGAAAGCCGGATGGAGGTTTACGACAGAGACAGGCATATTTTAAACTCCACAGTAGTCTGCCTTTCCTGTGGCATCCATGTCATTCAACAATAACAAACACACGTTGCTGCATTGAATCAGAGTGATGGAGGAAGGCCAGAGCTTCCTCTACACCAGAGAGAAAAGAGCCAGAGGTTGGCATAGTAGTTGGCTTTTTCCAGGAAGGGGTGAGTGGACATCGGGCAGTAGGGAGGATGACACTGTCTATGGGGCAAATCTATTTCAGCAGAGTCCGGATCTGACGGATGCTGTATCGGGTCTTCAGAGTCCTGTTCCTCTCCTCCTGTCCTGGGCCCTCGTGCAGGGGATGATGTATTTCACGTAGAAGGTGAGAGCAGACGGGGCTGCTGAGAACATCAGATACTGTGTCTGCTGGTGTTTGCCATTCGGTCAACCCCCAGTGACGAACGACAGGGCACTGCCTCTACTACTAACTTCCAGAGTGAGTTCTGAGCTTTGGAGGCCAGGCTAGCAAGGTTTTGTAACTCTTTCTTTCTTTTTTTTCTAGATCGGGAGGTCTTGAGGAGTAGGTAGGATGGAAAGGCAACATGTCCAGGTGTCCAACTTGGCCCATGGAATCAAAGTTGCTTCCAGCCCAGCTGTGGTCAAAACATGGCAGGTGCCAGAGAGCAAACTAGGTGGTGGCCAGGAAGCGAGCAGAGTCCAGAGACAAAGTTCAGGGGCAGGACGGGTGGCAGCTTCTAATGTCAGGGAGAACGGGCGGGGGAAGAGGGAGGGAAATCTATCTGAGACTTAAGGATTTTCATCGAGATCCCAAACTATGGAGCAGGGAGAGATTAGCGGGAGGAGGCGGACAGAGGCAGCTCTCCGAGAGGAGGAACGCGGTGGCTTGTGTGGAACCCAGGGCCTTCTTCATTCCTCTCATTTTTGTTCATTTCCTTTCTTTGCTTCCCCCCTGCCCCGTCTTTCTCAGGAGACAAGGCTGCTACCACTCTGTAGGTGGGAAGAAGAGACTGGAAGAGAAAATGTTTAGAATTTGGAGAGATAGACGCTTACCTCGCATGGGGCCAATCTGGGTTCAAATCCCCAACGCAACATATGGTCCTTTGTGCATCACCAAGAGTGATCCCTGAGCACAAAGCCAGGAATAAGCCCTCCTCACCGCCAGATGTGCTCCCAGAACCCCAAAAGTAAATAAAGGTTGACTCTCTACTCCTTCATTTGTGTCTGTTTTAAAGACATCCAAGAAAATAGGGAGCTCTGGGAATGGGAAGGACAAATCAGAATAGCTGCGAATGGTATCCGAGAGAATGAAAAAGATGCAAACCAATCCCTGAGCACTACCGGGTGCCCTAAGCCCCCACTCACACACACACACCACACACACACAAAAAACCTAAGATGCAAATCAATAAAAACTTTGGAAAGCATAGTGAGTATCCATCAAAACATATTTATTCAGTTTATAATTCCCTCTAATTCAATCTTTTTCTGTTGGGGATAGGGCACCCTCAGCAGCACTCAGGGCTCACTCCAAGGCTCTGTGTGTGTGTGTATACACACACACACACACATATAGTTTGACAGCACATTTGAAGAGAGTTGAGGTTCACTGTATTCTTTCTTCTCTTTCTTTCTTTTTCTTTCCTCTCTCTTTTTGTAAGGGAGAGGATAGTCTATACAAGGTGGTGCTCAGGGCTTACTCCTGGCTCTGTGCTCAGGAATTGTGTAAACTCACACAAAGAGGGGGCACGGCACCCCACACAGCGGCGGTGGCTCTATCTCCTGCCGCCCGCGTTCGGTAGTCTCACCCTTCTCCCACCCCGGAGAGGTCGATGGCGATGGTCAGGCGGAGGAAGGAACGAGGGCCAGGCCGGTAGGTATTAGTCGTAGTTTATTCTGATTCTCTCTTCATCTGCCTCTGCCCCCTTCTCCTTCTGTCTCTCTGCTCCCCATTCTTCCTCCCCCAGCTACTTCATTCTCCTTCTCCATTCCCCTTCATCCTCCTTCTCTGGAGTCTGGGTGTGTAAACTCACACAAAGTGGGGGGCACGGCACCCACAGCGGCGGTGGCTCTATCTCTCCCGCCGCCCGCGTTCGGTAGTCTCACCCTTCTCCCACCCCGGAGAGGTCGATGGCGATGGTCAGGCGGAGGAAGGAACGAGGGCCAGGCCGGTAGGTATTAGTCGTAGTTTATTCTGATTCTCTCTTCATCTGCCTCTGCCCCCTTCTCCTTCTGTCTCTCTGCTCCCCATTCTTCCTCCCCCAGCTACTTCATTCTCCTTCTCCATTCCCCTTCATCCTCCTTCTCTGGAGTCTGGGTGTGTAAACTCACACAAAGTGGGGGGCACGGCACCCACAGCGGCGGTGGCTCTATCTCTCCCGCCGCCCGCGTTCGGTAGTCTCACCCTTCTCCCACCCCGGAGAGGTCGATGGCGATGGTCAGGCAGAGGAAGGAACGAGGGCCAGGCTGGTAGGTATTAGTCGTAGTTTATTCTGATTCTCTCCTCATCTCTCCTTCTGTCTCTGCCCCCCCTGCCCAATCTACCGTCTCCTTATATCTCTCTCCAAGAGGAATTGGAAGAATAATTACATAGATGCGGTCACAATCAATAGGGGTAGAGATCAACAGGGGTAGAAATCTTGGCCTCAGGGAAGACCGCTCCTAGGACAGATCCTTCCTCAGCAGGAGGACCCACCCTAGAGCGGAATCCCATGGGCGTGCGGTAAACTATTCATAAGGCATAAGGAGAGGAGAAAGGCAATATTTCACTCATATATATAAAATCATAGATTTCTGGAAAACTGATCTTACAAAGTAACAAAGTCTGATTAAGGGGGAAGCTGATTAACTGGGTGGGAAGGAGAGCATAGGGAAGACTGTTTACATGTTTACATGTAAACACAATGGAAGTGGAAGTGCCTCTGGAGCACTGTGATGGGTGTAACCAGATTAATGGGTGTAACCAGATAAAACCTAAGGTTCTTGAAGGACAAAGCAATGTTACCCAACACTGGGTTCTGATTCTCTCTGAACCCCCAGCCCACTCCTACAGTCTCCTTAAATCCTCTCTCCATGAGGAATTGGGGGAACAATTACATATAGGTGTGGTCACAATCAATAGGGGTGGAGATCAACAGGGGTAGAAATCTTGGCCTCAGGGAAGGCCACTCCTAGGACAGATCCTTTCTCAGCAGGAGGACCCACCCTAGAGCGGAATCCCAAGGGTGTGTCTCTCCTCTCCTTGTCCGACAAGCATATAAGAATATAATATAAATCATTTTGTATGGATACAGTAAGAAATATCTTAAACTTATAGAATTGCTCTCCTAGGGCCATCTTGATCTCAGACTACGGTGCTCAGGCCAGATAGTCTTTCCCACCCCTAGCAGGATCCTAGTCTTGTCATTACCTTTGGATCATGACAGCATTTGTCTATGATCAAACTCTTAACTTATAGTTAAGAATCGTGGCACTTTGGCCTGGCCCATTTCGCTGCCAGGGTAGCTCACCGCTTGCCCTGGGTCCATTCAGTCCCTCGTCGGGACCCTGCTTTTGGGGTGTTAGGAACTAAGGGCAACTGAGACTTAAGTCGAGAAAGCAGATGCCTAGGAGTGAATAATATTCAAGGCCAATCAAATCCTGAGTTACAAAGCATAATGTTAACGGTCTTCCTGTATCTATACAAAAAGGATATTACTTTAAGGTAAACTATTCATAAGGCATAAGGAGAGGAGAAATGCAATATTTCACTCATATATATAAAATCATAGATTTCTGGGAAACTGATCTTACAAAGTAACAAAGTCTGATTAAGGGGGAAGCTGATTAACTGGGTGGGAAGGAGAGCATAGGGAAGACTGTTTACATGTTTACATGTAAACACAATGAAGTGGAAGTGCCTCTGGAGCACTGTGATGGGTGTAACCAGATTAATGGGTGTAACCAGATAAACCTAAGCTTCTTGTGGAAGGACAAAGCAATGTTACCCTACATCTCCCCCTTTTCTGTTTACAAAAACACAAACATTTGAAATAGAAAGAGTAATGATTACAAACAAAAGTCTTATTTGTTGGACTTCAGTCCACCCCTGAACCCAGAGCAGTGCTTGTTGCAAAGTGTCCGATAGTCCTGCACTGTTCAAGGGTGATCAGAGTCATTTAGTCATGTTTTGAAGAAATGAAGTGTCTGGATCACAATTTGAAGAGTTGTTTCTGCAACAACAACAGTAGTGGTCACAGCAATGAGTCCCAGGGGAGCAGCTACAGGAGTCTGATGCACTTCAGGGAGCACTGGATCAGGCAGTGAGCACTGGAACAGGAACATCACGACTTCTGTCAGGAGCTCTTCAGCAGGGGAATGCAGTCATTCTCTGGTCAGGTTCTCTGGTAGTCGTAGATGTGCAACCTAACTTATGTTTGGAAAAAACACTTTTTTAAAGTTATCAGAGGCTTCAACCATCGGGGTTTGGTACATCTCCACGCCTGTGGGTAGAGAAAGAGACAGGGGGGAACTCCGACAGTTATCCTAGAGAAAAATTAAAAGGTGTTCCTATTAAAAGTCATTCCTTTCTCCTTTAGGAGCTGAGACACCTGTGAATTCCAAGCAGAGGGTAAAAGTTAAAGACTTGTTAATCCAAAATATGGGGTTCTGGAGTTGCCCAATCCACAACCTGTAAGAGAAGGGAATAAGGAATGCTCTTAATTTGATCTCATGATATGTTAAAGGAGCTAGAAGCCTTTATTGCAGGCCTTCTGATGCTGGCTCCTCTGATTTCCTTGTGAATTCCAGGTGAAATCAGCTTGGCGATGGCTTGAAGTTGGAATTTAGAGAGTTGTAAGACTGCGAAGGTCTGAAAGTTAAAGCAAATAGATGAATTCAGCTCCTGATGAGGTGCAATGAGACCCAAAGTTTCTTGGTGGGTTTATCTGTTGAAAGAAAATACAGCTTTTTCCTCGAATAAGGGGTCTCCCTGCTGCCCAGTCTTTGTCAATTTTAATCAAAATAGAAGAATCAGTAATTTTCTGAGTCTGAGCATCTTCCTGAAAATGCTTTTCAGCTGCTGTATATGGCTCCCCTCGAGGTAAATTCAAAATTTGTAAAGAGAACAATGTCAAGGACAAGGAGTTGAAGGGGGCATACCTCCTTTTTTTCTTTTTTTAAACTATGCTCAATTCATAGGTACAGGAAGACCAGAATGAGATCTGTTATCAGTAGTAAAAACAAGTTCAGAACACTTTTGTAAAAAAGAGCCTGTTGCTGCTGAAGCAATTGTTGAGCTATATTGCAGTTTATGTACTTAGAAACTTAGTCACTATACCAGGGAAGAGACCAACAACATAAACTGAGTCTGAGATGACATTAGCAGGCCCTGGCACATGGGCGAGTAAAAAACCAACGTGGCAAGTTATAGCCTTCATTGGAAGCTCTTTCCTGATATCAAAATAATCCGCTTCATAACCATAAACACACACACAAGCAGAAGTATCCTAGTGGCAATGCCTTCTGTCCCTCACCAGACTCAGCGTCTGTAATGGCTGAGTGGGTGAGCACCCAGGAATGAGGCGTCTCTGTGCCTCCTGGGTCAATAAGCAATGGCCTAGTGGGAGAATAACCTCGTACCCACTGGCCCTGAAGCCGTTTTCCCAGAGGTGGCATCTCATGAACTAGAAGTAGAAGTTCACTTCCCCAAAAAGAAAACTGTGGCACCCTCAGTCTTTGAATAACCTTTGGAACTAGCAGTTCACCACTGTTTCTGATAAAAGACCTGAGAGTCGGTTGTCCAGACTGAGTTCCTGGCAGATGTTCTTGGGAACCAAGACTAGAAACGAGAGAAGGCTTTCTCCACCTCTGACCTGACTGAGGGATCTCAGGGTAGCTGAGTCCTTTTACACAAAGTTCTGCTCGGTTTGCCAGTACAAATTCACCCACAGACACAACGCTTTGATCCCAAAATTTCTCAGTTTTGTCCTGGCTCAAAACCTGACGCACGTTAGGTGCAGAACTCAGCTCCGCATGTCCCATACATGGGATAGCTTCTTCCCTGAACTCAACCGCTTGTCGGTGAGACTCTAGATATGCTCCTTGGGGAACAGAGGCAGGGATCAGAGATGCCTTTTCCTTCCCTTCCAGACAACCATGAAAACCTGATGTGCTGCTTGTAAGGCTCTTACAAGCAGCAAACTCCCTTTCTACCTGGGGGTTCAAATCTTGTCCCGTT